TAGACGGGGTGGCCGATGACCTCGTGGATGTAGGTGAAGCCAGCGAGCTGGCCGGCGTATCCCATAGCGGAGTGGCTGCCGTTAAGGAGGCGGAGCTTGATCATCTCGTACTCCTCGACCTTGTGCACGTCGGGAACGATCTGGACACCGGCCTTCTCGAAAGGTGGGCGGCCGTCGACGAACTTGTCCTCGAGAACCCACTGGTGGAAGGGCTCGGTGACAACGGGCCAAGCATCCTCAACACCGAAGTTCTCGGCTAGGCTGACCTTGTCCTCATCGTTGGTACGGGGAGTGATACGGTCGACCATGGAGTTGGGGAAGGCACCGTTGTTGGCGATCCAGTCGGCGACCTCAGGGTTCTGGTGGCGGGCGAAAGAGACCAGCATGTTGCGGCTGATGTCACCGTTCTTCTGCATGTTGTCGCAAGAGAGAACGGTGAAGGGTCGGAGACCAGCGGCGTGGCGCCTCTCCATGGCAGCGTAGAGGTAACCGAAGACAGTGCGGGGTGGCTGCTCACCAGCCAAGTCGGCGGCAACATCTGGGTGGTCGGTTTGGAGCTGGTGGGTGTTCTCGTTCATGTAGTAACCGCTCTCGGTGACAGTCATGGAAACGATGTGGGTGTCGGGGTGAGCCATCTTGGCGATGACAGCCTCAGCGCTGTCGGGAGCAAAGAGGTAGTCGGTGATGGAACCGCAAACGCGGGCAGTGGTACCCTCAGCGGCACGCTCGATGATGGTGTAGAGGTTGTCTTGGGGCTTCAGGGCATCGCGCATGGGAGCAGCGAATGGCTGAAGGTCAACACCGCAGATGGACCAGTCCTTTACGGCGAATTGCTCAAGAAGAGTGTCGACATAGGCTGCGAGATGGGCTCGGTGGAAACCACCAACACCAACGTGGACAATGCCTTGCTTGACACCCTCACGCTGATAGGTGGGGACGGCGACATTCTGGAGTTGGGAGAGGTTCTTGCTGCTGAGCTTGAGGGGAGCTGCTGGTGTTTGGCGCTGAGATGTGGTGGTGCCAGCGGCAAACTTCTCCTCCTTTCGTTGGGAGGATGTCCTGGGAGGGGCGTTGTAAACGTTGTTGTTCTCAGGTGTCCGGCGAACGGCCTCGGAGCTCTGGAACCTGAGGGCAGCAGGGCGGGAGGGCCTAGTGGACTGGAAAACAGCGCGGGCGCGGGCGGCGCGCAGCAGGTTCCTGGGGACTTGAGGAGGCATGGTAGAATAATGTGAGAATGGAATGAGAATACTGGAATACGTGGATGAGAGCAGAGGGAGATACGGTGCTCTAGTATTTATAAAGCGTCAGCCCAATCCTTTTTGTGGGCACATGCGTAGAACCTTGAGCATGGTGCCAAAAAAAGTCGGATTAGGGCCCCTATTTTTTTCGGAGGGTCTAGACATGGTGGATTACACAGTATGAGTCGGGACTCGCAGGCTGATAGCCTGTGCTTTGGAAAACGTGGGTTGGCAAAAGGAGGCTGCGGCTTGCATTGTGTTGTGTACGTCGCGGCCTGGTGGTGCGTGCCAAAACGCCAAAACGCCCCAACTGAGCCGCAACACCTGGGCAACTTCACGACACACCCCGAATAGATTCAAACTTTTTGCCCTGACGCGTCTCTACACAAGACCCAGTTTTTAGACTGGACAGGGGTTTCAGACTTTGCGCTCCCGCTTCCGCTCGCAGATGGGGGAGCCACAATTGCGCCGTAGTGCCTGTTGGCAGGCGATTTTGTGCGAGGTGCACAACTATTGCGTGCTAGGTGAAGGATGTTCAAGGGACTACTGAAAAGGCTGTGGCTTGCGTCCACCAGAACCTCACCGCCGCCGGCTTGCGTGGGGGGTGCGGTCCGCCAGGAACACCGACGCTTGGAAGCATGTCGGCTGCGTCGCCGACGCAAGGCTTGCATCTTGCATCGACCAGACCGCGTCTTCATCCACCTTGGCAATAATGCAACAACCCCCAACGTCCATCGTCGTGGCGACTACAACCCGCGCGCATGGCCTCCGCTGTCAGCCTGGCTATCTATGCACCTGGGGTAGCGGGTCGAAGTTCGGGGCTGGGGGTTATCCCGACGCCCATGCGAATTAGACATGTCGAGACCGCCATCGTATCCGTGTTGAGACGATGCCCTCCGCCTCGCCTCCTCGTTTCCAGATTCTTCGATTCTGGATCACCCCATGACTCGTTCACCGACTTGTCCTTCTGCGAGGATCCTGTCCAACGGCCACCAAAAGGATCTGCGGCCTGCAGCTGAGCCTCATGCATGCTGTTGCACGGCACATCATCCCCGCCATAGCTCTGCGTTGCAGCTATCAGATCGTCCTTAGCCTAAGCCCTAAGCATACCGACCGCCCAACGGAACTTTCTTAGCTTTTCCGCGCTACCTGTACCGCGTCAGTAGCGTCTCAACTGCCACCGGTAGTACTGCTTTCGCACAATCCGAGAGACGACCAGCTGTGGGCGTGGGGATGCGACCTTGCGACGCGGTCCTAATCTCCACCGGAAATCGCAACATCACTAACAAGCCCGAAGATAAGCCTCGCAGCGACCCACGTCCACGGTCCGGGCTGTCATGGATATTTCCAGGTTCCACAAGCCGCATGTCCTAGAAGGAAGGCAGTAGCGACCTTGCACCTTCTTCCCGGGCAGCCACCATGGAGACCAGCTGGTCCATGCCATGGGGGTAGTCCGGAGAATACCTCTCTCGGCAGAAGAGTTCGATGCGAGCTTAGCGGCCCGGCTAGACCCCAGCTCAGCAATGTACTCATTTGCTTTTCGCCAGGTCATGGCCGCTCGAGACGGTCACCTGGGCATGGTATCAGCGCAAAAGGGCCTGTTCGCGAATCATATGACGGGGATATTGAAACGTGGGCGTTAGTCCGTGGAGGATGCCGCATCCTCTCATGACAACATCTCGATGTGTGCACGCTGCGTGTTACGGTTTTTGCTTTGTTAAGTTTTGGAGGTTCGTTGGGCGAAAGTTAATCAACCCCACGAGTACGCGTATCGTGATCGAACGATCTTGGCGACGCTATTGGAGAACGCGCAAGCCTCTACGGAGTCGGACTCAAAGAGATGGGAGGGACGGAAAGGGGGATGCGAAATGTTTGATTCCAAGTGTTGTTTTCCTCGCGGGTAAGGACACGATGCCGAAGAAGGCATCGTACTGCTACACACAATCATGCAATTCTGGCTCGGCATCTTTCACCGCATCCACCGACATGCTCTCTCACAGATCTGACAATAACAATTCCCGCATCTTATCATACTGCGGACTCCCGAGTCCCGAAGCCATATCCCATCCCGGACCCGCTGGGAAGCCATCCATACCGCCTCCCGGATTATATCTCACAACGATATCATTGAATATCTCCGGATTGTCGTATATGTCCCAGTTCAAAGTGCCAAGTGGTTCTTTGCCATCCGCCAATCGCTCGTCATTGATCATATTGATCATGCTGGCAAAGCCGGGTGCAGAAGCCGACGCACCACTCACAGGTCTCGTGGTATTGAGAATCACTACTGGGTAGTTGACGCCAATGACTGCGACATCTGGGTATGCGCGACCTGAGCGATTATAGCGCCCTTCTCCGTATGCTGGTGCTGATTTGGAAAGCCAGCCCGAGACAGCGTCGTCCTGGTAGCTTGGACGGGGAAAGACGTTGGAAAATCCACCGCCGGAAAACGTGGCTGCCATTTCGCCGCCGGCAATGGTACCATCTTGCAATGTTGTGGCGCCGACGCAAAGGACCTATTGGAGATGAGTATAGCTGCAAAATGAGATTGAAAGGACGAATGAGTGGATGCTTACATGCGGGCATGTGCAAGGGAATGATGGTGCGAACTGCTGGTCGGAAGACCCAGCGCCAATATCTCCTGATGCGGCAACGATGGTGACGCCTTGCAACCCCAGCTTCATGTACTCGTGACATTGGCGTTCAAGGTAAGCACGAGAGAGCTGGCTCTCCAAAAAGCTGTATGAGATGGAGATGACGTTGCTCATTGGCGCACCTCCGCATGGTCCGTTCTTTGTGCCTTCTCCTTCATCGTTTTCGGGGAATCCCGGGCCAAGGTACTGCTCGTTGCCGCCAGGGTGGGTACAGTATGTAGGATCCTAGCTACGTTAGCTGTTGCTGCGTCACGTGGAAGATAGCAAGATACTCACCAACGCGTCCAGAAATAAATCGAAACCGTTAATAAACTTCGACTGGCCAATTTGATAGAATCGTACCTTTTGAGGGTAGATGATGGAGGTCGAGGCCTGAACGTCCAAAGCAGTCTCACCTGTCTTGTCAGCTTCTGCCAGAGACAGATCTCCGGGTTTGCCACCATAAACGTAGACGGATTCTGGCTCAACATCCAGGGGAATCCGAGGGGACGTCCAGTTTCTCAAGTATTCTTTGAAGTCTGGAAGATAGAGATAGTTACCAAGCCCGAAAATACCAAGCTCATTTCCGGTATTGTTGTGACTGGCAATGGGAACGTTGTACAGAGCGCGGAAGCAATGGACGGTAAAAAAGATGTGACAGGTCGACAGATCATCCGCACCACCATGGGCAGTGATATGATCAGCAATAGCCATGGGCTTCGTCGCTGTTTGTACATGCGCCATTGGACGTAAGCCGTCGAGCTGTATTGTGGGCGTGATGTAGTCGACATGTTCGCGAACGTGCTGTGGAAGTTTGTAGTCGTCGCATGCCATGCGAAGACCGCCGGATTCCTTTTCATGGAAGTTGTAATACTCCGTATGGAATAGGTCCTCAACCTCACCAATAGTGGCTAGGAACATGATCCAATCCCGTCCTACGTATTGTCAGTTCTCATTATACTCGGGCACGATGCGTCATGACATACTAGCTGAGAACGTGATGCGACTGTCCTCAACTCCAGCTGCATGGAGCCAGTCGAGAGTCGCGTTTGTCGTTGTTGGATGAGGCGCAAATGTACTATGGACTCGCTCAGCCGTCCAGCGCTTTCCTTTATGATATGTAAGTATATCACATAAACGACGAGTTCAGGTTTACGTTACGGAAGTTGGGTGAGGTTCGATTATGCATATCTTGGAGTGAGAGTTCGCCGTGCTTCAAGTTCTGCTGCTTCAGCGCGATTCGCACCGGCAGTACTGCATCCCTTGATGCACGTGAGTCTCTATCCCAACCTATCGGGTCCGCCTCTCGCTTCTCGTGGACGACGTGAGAGCCAACTGGGAAAGCGGCAGCTATGGTGCTGAGCCAAAGGAGGAACACTACTAGGAAGCGCATCGTTTCCAAGATGTACTGGGTCTGTGTTAAGTTGTGTAATGTTCTGTAAATCTGTCTCAGTCTGTGTGACTTTGTATGAGTTGTGATGAGTTTGAAGAAGAAACGAAGGTGAAAGTGCAATTCATCTTATACTACTCCAGGTGATTTTTTTCATGCTGATTGTAATACTGTACCTTGGTTTACAAGATCGACTACCATAGTACTACGATGGCAAGTTGTGAATGCCTTGTTGGCGATTGGTCATTGCAATACCACGGTACCCCTAAGCGAAAAGCTGGATAGCCATATCTTACGGTGTGTATCCAAAAAAAGTTGATAGGGCTACATTGCCCTAATATGTCTCAAACCTTACGTTGTTGTAGTAATGTAGGCTCCAGAGCACCTGTTCATCCATGGTTATGGTCACGCTTATGGTCAGAGCCCACAACGAGACACCTCAAAAGTTTGAACGAAAAAGTTATTAGATAATAGAATGATTAGCACGACCACGATCTCTGGCCGGGGCAACGTACCCGCTGAAGCGATAATAGATTCATTACAATAACGCTATGTACGAGCTGACCACTGCTCTGTTGACGCCCAACAATGTATGCCAACATAATGTACCCATAGGCACGATGGTCTGACCCAAATCAGTATATACCGAAGTTTAGCAGCACCCTCCCCAGCCCTGTTGCTTTCCCTTTTTACTCGCGTCATTTAGGTTGACGCCTGCCCTATTCGCTCCGCCTCCCGGCCCCTTGACTCCACTCCTTCGATCGTTCAAGTCGTACTTGCCAGCTTCTATATTTTGGTATATCCGCTCTGCGACTTCCAAAAAGGCTTGTTCCACACCCTCTCCGCTCTTGGCACTCGTCTCGACGTACTGCATGACGCCATTCGCTTTACACCACTCCTCAGCCTCTTCTTTTGTGACTTGTCGCTTGTTCGCGGCGTCCGAATCAGTTACGGTAGACGACCCCGCAAGATCAGACTTGTTGCCCACGAGCACCACGACGATGCCTTCCTCGGCGATTTGCCGCAAGTCGTGCAACCATGACGTGGCGGAGAGGAACGTGTTCTTCCGCGATATATCGAATACTAGCAGCGCGCCCGATGCGCCCCGAAAGTAACTTCTCGTGATGCTCTTGTACGTCTCCTGGCCTGCTGTATCCCATAGCGAAAGCTTCATGTGCTTCTGCTCCTGCTTTTGTTTCGACGGCGACACGGGCGCTTGTGCTTGTGAGGATTTGGAGGGGTTGTTGATGCTCAGGGAATGCGACGCTGGTGGGCCGACAGGAACGATGCGCGATCCGAACTCTACGCCGATAGTTACGTCGTGGTGTGGTGAGAAGCGGCCTTCGCAGAGGCGGACTGTTAGCTGTGAGGCGTTAGCATGGAGGCCCTGGGTAACGGGGATGGTGTCGCATACACTTGATTTACCACATCCTGAATCGCCTAACGATACGATCTTCGCTATGTAGTCCCACGGCTGCGCCATGGTGCTTTGTGACGCCGTGTGGCTGGTGTAGACGTCGACCTCGGGTGCAGGCTTATGGGGCGGTTCACAGCAAATGCAGTAGACGTATTCGAATACAGTAATTATTTTGCAGAATGTATGTAGTGTAAAGTATTTCACAAGTTGAAGCTTTGGGTGTGTTTGACAGGAAGCCAGTTGGACGATAGTGAGTGAGTGAGATAGGTCAGGGTCCCGGCCATGCGGTCATAGCTCGGCAGCTGCTTGAGCCACAGTCGAAGGATGCGACCCATGGCAAACGTGAAAAGCATGTCGCAATTTACTTTGCGCAAGCTTCGGCTCCATGCCATCTTGCTTTTCTCTGTAGCTCTGATTGATTGCCACTACGAAACATGAGTCTGACAAGCAGGAGTCGGGTTGCCTTGACTCGGACAACCACTATAAGGACAAATTTGCAGGCAAACGAGCACGACTAGAAGAAGATAAAATTGTCTGCAGACCCGTAGAGACAAGTTTACCGAATGCTTTGCATGTGAGGTGGAGCAGTTCTGGGGGCTAGGGAATAGCGCGTGCCTTGCATGTTCACGAGGTACGTGAGCCCGACAATCGATAACCCGACGCGCTGGCTTGGCACGATGATGAGATGAGCAACCATCACTCCAGCGCACCCGGCCAGCCACTCAACTCACTCACCACCTAGGCGGGCTAGAGCTCCCTGCTGTCCTATTGCTACCGCCCTACCACCGCCATCTCTACCATCTCCAGCTGGCCACTGCGCACTCTGCCGGCCCCCAGCTGCATGTCTCTTAGGCTGCGTCATCCGCGGCTGCCTCTTGTACTCCGGTACCCTTGCGCTCGACCGCCTCACGACCGCTGACCTCGCACCTGAGCCACCTTCGCTTCGGGACTTTGCTCGCGATAGATATACCTGGCCGCCATCGCCGAGCTCATTAGGCATATACACATCTATCGCGCACTTTATCTATCATGTTCTCTGAATGTAAGTGGACCTGGTGCCTTATCGGGTACATGTGACAGATCCGCCGCCTGTGTCTTGAGCAGCTTATGGACTCGCGTGACTGACGTGCGTGCTCCCCAGATGCATCCAAGTTCCTCTCCCAGTCTCAGTCGCAGCTGTCACTGGGCCAGCCCGAGCCGACTTCAACCCGCAACGCCCCCGACAGGCAGCGCCCGTCCTCGCGCGCCTCCCAAGCCTACCTCCAGCGTCGCAACATGCCCAACCCATACAACTCGCAGGCCATGAGCCGCTTTGCCTTCGCTTCACGAACATCCAACGCGCCCGCGCCACTCTTCTACTCCGCCACCGATGACTTTCGCGAGGAGGACGACCATGCCGAGCACGACAGGGACCTAGCAGACCAATACGCGCTGCAACGCTCGCGGCGGCAGTTTGGCGCAAGCAATCTATCCGAGTCATCTGAGGTCGATGATGAACATGGCCAACGATCCGATCATACGATAGGTGCGGACAGGGACGAGAATGAAGCTCCCGGCTATGGTCTGGGGAGAGGGATTAAGAGCTCCTGGAAGGGCGACAAGCCAGCTCGCGGAAGATCGACCGTTATCAACAACCCAGAAGACGAGGAAAGAGAGTCAAGTGTGCCGCTCTCTGAGACTACAGACCGCAGCAGCAGGGGGAGAGGTCACCTCGTAGATGTGGAGCTTGATTCTACAGATCGGGGGAGTATAGAAGAGTTGGACCGAGACGAGCTCCTGGGTCACCAGGACGAACCACCGCCACCCTTCCAACAGTTTCGCAACATGCCGAGGCCGAAGCGCGGTCGCAGCCCACTACGAAACACCCTACCGATACCACAGGAAACAGACGAAGACACTCTGCTTGAACACCCACGTCCAATAAGTCCGGATCGCCAGACCGTTCCCGACGACGTACCAGAGAACCCCACATCGGCGCCACGACACAACTTCTTCTGGGCTGAGCTCTTCATAATCGTGCAGTGTGCCATCTTTGGCACATGGATCATCTCTTTTCTCCAAGAGTCGCCACCGGGCAAGAAGAACCCACTGGGCGACACGATATATACTGTCCTGCATTCGTCGTTCCACCTCATTGGTGTGTACACACTGGTTTCGGTCATCGTCGGAGTCCTATGGCTATCGCTACTTCGGTCCTTCGCTCGGCCCTTGGTGCAATTAATGTTACTGGCGGTACCAGTGATATCGTTTTCCTTCTTTGTATACCCTTTCGCATCAAGCTTCAAAGGGTCATGGCATGGCGATAGCGTACAAGACCGGCTGATGCGCTGGCTTTCGTTTGGGCCCTTGTGCTTCGCTGGGTTCTGGGTGTACACCATCTTCAAGGCACGACATTCTTTAGACAAAGCTACAGGCATGTTGGAGTTCTCAAGTGAGATCCTGAGAGCGCAATTCCCATTGCTACTCGTGGGTATTGCAACACTAGCTGCTGTGATACTCTGGGCGTGGATATGGATCCTCATGTTCACACGTCTATTCCTTGGCGGCCATTTTGCTAGCAACAAGTCCCGATGGATCATCGATGCTAGTACGTGGTGGCTTGGTGTTGTATTCTTCTTGGACTTTTTCTGGGGTTTGGCGGTCATTGCGGGTGTGCAACGCGCCACGACGGCAGCCACGGTATCTCAATGGTACTTCCACCGCAACAGCGTGCCTGCACCCGCGGCTAGAACGGTGGTCCAAGCCTCTCTCACTCACGCGACCTACACCATGGCCGGCACGATCTGTTTGTCGACACTGATCTCACTCCTGGTCCGCCTTCCCCTCATCGTACTTCCAAGGCGACTGGCGGGCATGATTGGCATGTGCGCATATTCAGTCGTGCCAACGCCCATCGCTGCGTTGACGAACCCGCTCACCCTGACCTACGCTTCCATCCACGGTGTGCCTCTCAATCAAGCAGCGCGCGGTCTGTCACAGATGAACTTCATCTCCGCTGCTTCGCCAACCACAACCCTCGGCCCATCCTCGTTCAAGGACCATGGCCGACCATCGATTCAGTCATACCGTCTGGCAAAGTTGCTTCTCCACGCCATCCGCTGGGTCATAACATTGTCTCTCGGTTTCGGTGGATGGGTCTCGACTGCACGCATGCTTCAAGTCGGCGGGTCTGTACCATACAAGGGCAGTCTATACGCATACGTCGTGGGTCTCATCAGCGCGGCAATCGGCTGGGGCGCTCTAGGCGCCATGGAAGGAGTCCTCGGGGGTATCCTGGACGCAGTGCTTGTGTGTTGGGGTAGTGAAGTAGGAAGCGACGGGCAAGGAGAGGCTCGGTACTGTGTTGACGCCGGACGGTTGTTCGGCAATGAGGTCACTGGGCAAGGTCGAGCAAGATACGAAGTCTAGAACATGTTTTCTTTTTGCATCATTGGCGTTTCAGCACCAGAAGAACCTGGATAACAGATACGGTTATGGCGCTTGGGTATACCTATCGTTCATCCTTTTCAAATCGCTTTTGCTATAGGCAATAGCGTTCGTATAGTTTTATCCAACTGAGATTTTTATGCAAGTCATTTGTCTACGATTATCGAGGGAGGACTTGTCCATGCGCTTACAGTAGTAAGTAGGCGTAGGCGTAGACATTGGTGTATGCTGATCACGTCACGGCTAGATGCGGCACGCTAGCCGGTGACGCTCAGTCCCGGCTGAAGCACAAAGCACTCCAGGGCTCCGACTTCCCTTCAACCATCATCTTTCTACTTTTTTCTACCCTCTCTACCAGAACATACGTGGTGTGGTTTTCTATTAGACTGGTTCACTTTGTCGAATACGATGAAGTATCAAAACTCTTGGCGCTCGGTGCTGCACCTGTGGCAAGATGTCAAAGGGACGTTGTAGCTACATCTGGGCATGTATCAACCGTTGACATAGTACACAGTAAGTTTCATGGCATTTGTTCGTTGAAAAAAAAGCGTATAGAGACAGAAATGAGTGGCCGTCGGAGGCGCGGCACACTGTCGCGATGCCAGGTGACTAGAGCGGCGAACAGTAGAGCTTCTTCGTACGGGTGGGTCTACTTTTGACACCTAATGGCGACATCAGAATTACAGTCAGAATTACAGTCACGCGACGGTCGCTACCTATCCGTATGTCGAGCCTGTGGCCTCTGCGCATGTTATGTGGAGCAGTCCCTCGGTCCCACCTTGTTGACAAAGAACTCACGTCTGTGCCGGGCACTGCGTAACCCTCCATGAACCCGAGCTGACGGACGACTTTCGTCGAAGGAGCCTTATGTGGAGACGTGCAGCGGCGTATCGGAATGCTAGCCCACCTCGCTCACATCGATGAGTGTTACTCCGCTAGTAGAAATGTGTTCGATGAGTCTCTCGAGCGCACTTTCCCGCTGGTTAGATCTCTCGGCGTCCTAATCGCGAGATGGTGACCGATGTAGAACCCGCAAAGACTCGCTTATCGCGGCAGTAAGTCATCGCGGACCTCGCACAGCTCATGCTGCGGATGCTGGAGGTGGTACACTCTCCGTATGACTATGAAGACCAGTGTCATCACTGAGCATATCCGCTTCGCTCTGTCATGCGATGACTGTATTGGCATGTAGCTGATATGAAGAGTCATGTTCTGGGAAGGTATAAAGGTCTCCAGGGCGGGCAGCTTTGGACTCTATAACTCCTTCACACAGCTACTCAAGCAAACGACCAAAGTCTTTTGCACATCATCCTATTTACCAATTTCGAGTCTCGAGATCAAACATTCAACCGAAACACAACTTCTCATCATGTCCAGTCAGGAAGGCAATCAAGCTGATGCCACGAATTGGATCATCATCACGGAAAACGAGACGAAGATGCAGAGGTTCTACGGTCCTTTCAGCAGCGACAAGGAACTTTGGGACAAGGAGGCAAAAGTTTTCGCCGATCAGATGCTAGAAGGCCGTACCGAACCTACGGACCCCAACGTACGAGCCGAATGGAAAGTCCTGATGGTCACCGCTGTCACAGCTGCGTTTTCAAATCCTAGCTGGTCGCGGGGTTTTCCGATATGGACTGACATTACCTCCTACGAAGGTAGTAATTTCGACCTTGAAACGCAGACCATCTCTCTCAACCAAGGGTTCCAGAAGGATGCCGCGATAGCCATGAAGAAGCTCGCAGCAAGCGAGAATATGGACGAATACCGACCTCCAAAAGAACCAAAGGCTACATACGGAGATGGATTGAGGGTATTTTACGTCAGCGTCAGAAAAGCCGAAATGCGATGGTTTGAAAATCTAATTAAACGAGACATTGCGAAGGATCCAGCCAAATTCTCATCTCCATATATAATGGGCGCGAAGGCGGCCGCCAGAGAAAAATATTATTTGAACGACTCGAATTGGCGCTTTGATAAGTATTTCGAACAACGCTCAATTCCCTCCGAAATAAAGGGCGGCGTCCAAGTCTTCGTAGACAAAGACAAGGCTATAGAGTACGCGGAGGCGAAGGCGGGAGAGGCAAGATTTACGTCTGAGAAAGAACCCAAAAACCTGGGCGCGGATCAAGTCGTATATGAGGTACCATCTGAAGACGAGACTGTGGGGCCCTTACAAGGCCTGCCCAAGCATTTCATGCTTTACGCAGTCACCACTGCTCGTATTAACAAAACTCAAAGAGTTGAGAATTGGTGCGCGCTCTTCTAGAGCACTTGGGCGTACTAGTCTACCACACTGCTTTCGGTAGCTCTTCACATGGGGTCATACACACTACTGTTTCGGGGCTGTCTTTCCTTTACGGAGTTTTGTATGATAGTTACATCGAGATCCATAGACAGTTATCCTAATACAAATCCTGTCGCTGAGAAAACACTTGATGTAGTGCGTATCAATGGTACATCTACTCCGCTACTTAGTCGAAGACACGTGGCTAGGTCACCGCACTTCGTATACTGATACTCAACTACTAAAAGCTTTTATCCGTAGTGAGCTCTTGTTAGAGCAAAAGATCTGAAAGAGGATGTTCAGCGGAGTGGTGGACGATACGGTATCGTTATATTTAAGGAACAGTAGAGATGTTCCCTGGTACGGATGCAGCAAACACAACAAGCTTCTCTAGATACATATTAGATTGAACCAGATCCGCGTGGCTGTATTTGCCAGGGAACGCTGCGCAATCAGCGCTTACTAATCGTGATTAACAGGAGAGCGAACAATGCTGCTATCGGTATTTGGGAGGGTGTGATAAGCCTAGAAGATGGTCGTGGATGGGGTAGAGCGGAAGGAAGTCCATGTTGACCTCAGGAGGTACCTACCTAGGTAGGTATGAAAGGACGAGTGGCACAACCGCTGTCGCATTGCCGCCTACGTAGTGTCATGTATCAATGAACGAAGAACATCCAAGAGCTCGATCTTTCCGCGTAGAACACAATATCTCAGGAGTAGCCGTTTGTGCACGCGACAATTAACATGAGGCTCGCCATCCTACTTGCAAATGACGTAGTATGGCTTAATTCGGCTAGCGCGAATACTCGAAGCTTCCGATTTAACCCTGAGCGAGGGACCACAGCAACACCAAGACCACGAAGCTCTCAGCACCTGTCTACGAATTCCCTGTTTTCACTCGGTCGCGAGAGCTTGGCTTGTTTTGGTCGCGCGAGATCGCGGCAACTAGCTTGTCTCTACCCTGACGTTTCCGACGTCCCAACTACACCATGAGCGAACCAAGTTTACGAACATCACGATGCGCACTCAGGACGTCACTTCCGTCGGCGCCAGCTATACCGACAGCTATACCGACAGCATGAGCAGGACTGAGTGACACCGAGTCCACACCGCACTGCACATATTCGGTAGTGAACAGTGTGTTTCATCAGGACGTTCTGTGTGCCGCTGCCATCCAGCCATGAGAAAGCTCTACTGACAAGGCTGGAGTCAACATTCAGATCTGTTTATTCGGTCACTCCGAGGTGTGGTTCATGGCCCTGACCACTGCGTGCGTACTACCGGAAAGCGGATGCCTCGGAGGTACACAACACGGTCCCGTCATGAGGACAAAGAATACATGTCTGTGTCTGACAGCAATGTGACACATCTGCTAGGTCCAATGGACACGATGAGTAATGAGCGAACCCCAGGTGGAGATTGTGCGATGTACGTTGGAGTTTCCGTGAACCGGGCTTACATCGTGGACTCATCTTCAGCCGATCAAGTGGATCTACATGGACTACGCAGCCTCCTCAGTCCTGAAAGATAGCGTTCGCGAGCAATTTGCAGGGAGATGACCGATGCAAAAGCTACATGGTGCTCTGCGCTTCGTGCAACGTACCTACAGATGACCAATCTGCATATGTTTTAGTTCGCAAAGGTCGCGTAGGTTTCTCTATATGCATCGTAAGTGGGAACTAGCATTTGTGACTACTCAAATGTAGCGTAGGTGATGGCTAGGAAGAACCGGTATCACCACGGGGTTTGAAGGACAAACTGGTGCTCGTGATGACCCTCATGTTGGATCAAGGATCGAAACTTCCATCACGTTGTCGGAGTTCTACATAATTACGCTGGGAGTAAGATATCCTTTTGTCGATTCTATCCTTTTGTCGATTCTATCCTTTTGTCGATTCTATCCTATTTGAGATGTTATCGAACCATTTTCGCGCTGTGATGTGTGCCGAGGTACCGTGAGCTTCATTATCACCATTAGTGTGTCGTAAACTCGTAAAGCTTGTGACAGCTTTGGACTAAAAGTGTATTACTTCGACTTCCAGCTCATCCTTACAGTCCATGTATGACTAACAGGCTGCTGTTAATCATTGTACATGACTCAAAGGTGCTGTGGTATAAAATCAGGACTCCGTCTTTCTAGGTTCGTACGCATACCGAGATCCCCTACATACTACGTACCTTACTTACGCCTATCATACCCAGGTACTACCACGTTACAAAGCCTCGTCCAAGCAACTTGCCATGTCCGGTTCCCAAGAGAACGAGGTATTCCACGTCCACTATTATTGGCATAACAACAGTAGCATTGTCTACAGCAAATCAGAAGAATCGCTGAAATTGATGCGGGCGGATCTGTCGAATTACTGTAAAGATCACAGAGGCGATCGATTCAATGAAAAGAGACTCGCCGATGAATTAGCTAAGGGGCTCGGCGATGGCACACGAGAACACCTTGCCAAAGACGACCAAGACATAGAGTTCTTTAGCATAAGACACGAGAAGCAACCCAACAAGCCGGTCGCAGACGCGCTTCAATCACCCTCTCCGCCCAAACTATGTATCTACCATACGCAGAAGCTTCGTCAAGCTTACATGTCGAAAGCTGCGGCAGAGAAGGTCGTGATCAAAGATCTTGCGCATGACTATTCCAAGATCATTTTAGCATGGCAGAATGGGCATAAAAGCTTGGAACAGGGAGATGATTTCAGAAGCTTTGTCAACGAGTCTGATGCCATTGAACATGCGAAGAACGAGCTTCGCAAAGGACAAGGAGATGGAAGAGAGTTTAAAGAGCTGCGCCCGACGGCATGGTATGTTTGGGCGGGTGTCGTTCTTTTGGATAGTGAGATCACGCCTGGAGAGCCATCTGGGTCTTGTAAAGTAGTGGGGCAGGTCGGCGTGATCCTGAAATCCGGTTCGTCATCTGGGGCTGGAGTGCAGGATCCAAACCATTAGTGTGTTGAGACATCGTAGTGGGTTGCGCTTGCCTGGATCGACATCGTATTTGATGGTCAGCATATCTTCTAAGTACCTAGGTAATTCAGCATTGTATGGTGCTTGCGGAGCTTGCAACGACTACCCTGAACTCTTTCTTAGTCGCATATTGGAAAACAACACAGCGGCCTAGGAAGATCTGTGCGCTGCGAAAGGTATCATGGAGGTCCGTGTGTGTGTTGGTTCGTGACTGTCGAGGTTGAGTCATCTCTTCAACCACTTCATGTATAAATACCCTACGGAATTCGTTTCCCAAATTCTAAACTTGTATTTATCACACATATAAGCCCGAAATCAGCAAACTTCACACCACCAAAGAGCTGGCACAATCTTCGTCTCAGATGGCCTCCAACAAAGACTTCAACCCCAACAGGGACCTCGTTTACTTACAAGTAACCTACTCCAAGAAGAAAGATCTAATCGGGCCCTACTTGATCACCGACCACGGTCTTGACGCAGCACGGAAGCGTCTTCTCAACCTTTGCAAACTAAACATCGAAGGAATGAACGATATCCTACTTGCAAAGATCGGAGATGAGATAAACCAGTCGGGCTTCAACTTCCAAGCTCTCAAAAAGCGCCGGAGTATAGCGGGCGATCAAAACCGCGAGGTTCTTGGTGTCAGCAGCTTGTTGTCGTCCAGCTCTGAAGTTGTGGAAAAGATCCGCGAATGTGAAGAAAAGGAGAGTAACCGGTTCTATATACCGTTTACTCGTGCAGCATGCGCAAAGAACATTTGAAGAGCTGGCAAGAATGCTTCGTACCATGCAAAGAGGCTGAAGACATGCTCATTTGGCCTTGCAAGCAGGGATCGAATGGTGTTGAAACTCGGTTGAGTAGCATTGGTGCCCAGGTCGGGCCATTGTTGACAGCATGCGACGAGATGAGGGAGCTAAGCCAAGCCGTGCCAGACACGAAGAAATGGCTCAACGATTATACGAGTACGCAACAAGTCATGATGATCTGGAGGGTCGTCGCGAACGATGCGGAGGGATAGTTGGAGATGTCCATGTCAAAGACGAATGATAATATCTTTGAGTCAGCGAAGCTGTGTCATACTGAAGTGACTGTGAGGATGATTCTAGCCATGACTACAAAGACTGTAACTCATGCCTAGTGACTCACGTCTTTGGTATATAAAGCGAGGTCCCTCTGCTACTCCTGCTTCTATAACAACCTCGAACATCGGTGTCAGCTTTCAACCCCAAAAACGCCATTTCCATCCAACGAGCATCCACGATTTCCACGTCCATGATGACCGATCATTCCGAAGATGTGTACTACTGCCTAGTTTACTGCCCTCGCAGGGACGTGGACGATGGCGAAGAGTTCGGCGGAATATTCGGAAACTCCCCTGAGCAGCGGGAGTCTTTAGAAAAGACCGTACGCGACTTCTGCGAAGAAAAGTCTCGTTCACTCAAGTTAAAGACGGACAACTCCATCCTCGACCAACCCTTCGTAAAGCGAGAGGACCGAAATGAGTTAGAGGATCTGTCGCTAGTGGACGAGGACGACGAAGTGGTCTTGGTAATTACCAAGGCAGCGGATGTCGACCAGCATGTGACGAACGCACTAAATCAATCGATCCCACGAAGTCTCTACCTGTGTAGGATTATATCGTTCCCTCCAGACTATGTCGAAGACCCATTTCCAAAGGAAGTCGAGGACATGTGGGACGACGTGATACCATACATAACACCTGGTCATGATGAGTTCCTCTTCGGGAGACTTTTGGCAACATGTGTCTCAATGACGGATGCCGAAGCGCATGCGCTTGCTGAGTGCCAGAAACGAACGGATCCGAAAAATGGGAAGGATTCGTGGATATTGAACATGGATGATCGGTTTTGGCTCAGTGCTACAACTGAAGAAGGGCGATTAAGGCATATTATCGTTGTTGGAAAGTGGAGACGTCGACGCGCTACTGGCAAATGGGTACACGGGAAGATGAGATGATCCGGATAGTAACACAGCGTTCGAGACCTCGAGAAAGAACCGAGAAGGGAGCCGGGTGGGCCTTTAAAGGTACATCTACTTTCCCGAGTTGTCTTATGATAGCTGGTGATTGTAATGGGCGTGAAAACTGATGATTATGGGCCACTAATTCTTTTGACTGTTGCTCTTCAACGAAACGAGTCTGTCGTTTCGAGGATGTCATAGATAGGTCTAAGCAGCCAGTTATACGAATAGGAAATTATTGGTGATGTGTTCCAGAGAAGTCAGCGTGCCTGCGTCATGGGTCGGTTGGTGACTAGCGCGAGTCGACGCGTAGTGAAGCGGGACCCGATCAACACGGCTACTGCAGCCCAAACACGACTCGGCGCAGCGAACAAGCAACACCAAAGCACCCCGGGCTCCATGGAGTGCCCTGCCCGCCAACATGTCCTCCCGCAACGTGCCCACGATGAAGTCGCTGTCCGGCGCTGATCGCCGCTCCGTCAATGCCAACTACACGTCGACTGCGCGACCCCGCGTCGCTTCTGGAGAGGAACTCGACCGTCGTAGCTCGACCACCTCAGCGTCACATGCCAGGAAACAGTCAGCACCCATGCGCGCAACAGGCGCCGCTTCGGGCGAGCGTCGCACAGAGAAGAAGGAGGTGCGCGAGCGGGAGACGGAGATCAGGCGGACAAAGAGCCCGTTGAAGCATGCCAGTGAAAGTAGGGCGAATGCGCGAAGCCGCTCAGAGAAACTCCCGCGCGACGTCGACCGACCCTCACGCAGCGCCGCCTCGCAAAAGTCTATCCCCGAAGAGCCCCAGATGCCGTGGGAACCGCAGGCTTCTTTGATACCGCACACGACCGCCCCGCTGGCGACGCGCATCTCGATACCTCCCCTCGCATCCACCGCGCCTATATCGCTGCAACCTACACCGCTTGCAAAACTATCGCTAGAAGCACAAGAGAAGGCGATACTGGAGGACCTCTTGTTTGTGTTCATGGGCTTTGAGGGGCAGTACATTCGATTCGGCGATGGCTACAATCCCCACGAAGAGAAGGAACGTCTGGTCGGGCCACAGTTCCGCCTAATGCCCGGCCTGGACCCTAGTTTGAGAGATCTGACCAAGTCGATGCTGAAGACTGCCACACATTACATTGCTGTCGAGACATGCGTCGAGGTGCTCAGTCGGGAGGAGTACGGTGCCGTGAACCATGCGTTATGCGCGGCGGTACGACGGTTGCTCAAGGACTACCTCATACTCGTTGCGCAACTTGAGCACCAGCTGCTGACGAACGAGTCCTTCACTCTGCACGTCTTGAGTCTGCACACCAAACAGACTAGCCACATGCTCTTCCAGCTCTACACCACCGGGATCGAGCTGCTGAAGGCGAACGGCATTCTGGAGGACGAGAAGGACGAAGACTCGGCGGATGACGACAGCAATGACTTTGAAAACATCTTGGAGTCATTGCGCGAAGGCGGTAACGCGGCCAAGAAGCTCTGCAAAGGTGGAAGCGTGCTCGGACTCATCACCAAGCGGCTATCGTCCATGTCGGGAGATCCAGCGGCTCGCGCACTACTGACCACACTACTACGAGAGGCTAGCAGACCGTATATGGCTATGTTGAACGAGTGGCTACATCACGGCGGCATCAAGGACCCGCATTCCGAGTTCCTGATCAAAGAGCAGAGAAGCATCAAGCGAGAAAGATTAGACCAGGATTATACGGACGAGTATTGGGAGAAGAGATATACGATACGCGATGCTCTTGTGCCTCCACAGCTGGAAGCCGTCAAAGACAAAGTGCTCCTGGCAGGAAAGTACCTCAACGTGGTAAGGGAGTGCGGAGGCGTCGACGTTAGTAAAGTCGTGCAAGACGCGCCCACCAGCTTCGACGATCCACGCTTCTTAGATAACGTCAACTCCTCATACGCCTACGCAAACTCCTCGCTCCTCAACCTCCTCCTCACTACACACCAACTGCCTGCACGGTTACGTTCACTAAAGCACTACTTCTTCCTCGATCGCTCCGACTTCTTCACTTACTTCCTCGAGATGAGCGAGCTTGAGCTCAAGAAACCAGCAAAGCATGTTAACGTCGGCAAACTGCAGTCGCTATTGGATCTCGCCACTCGGCATGCTGGATCAGTCGCTGTGGAGGACCCATATAAGGAGGACATCAAGGTTCAGATTAACGATACTGGACTCACGAACTGGCTCATGAAGATTGTCAACGTCCAGGGTCTTGACCAGGATGCTGCCACCGCTACGTTATCCAACTACACACCTGCGAACTCAGCCCCGATCACCGACGACACGAACATCACTGGATACCAAGCGCTAGTCTTTGACTACGCCATGCCCTTCCCGCTTTCGTTGGTCGTTAGCAGAGTTACTCTCACTCGTTACCAACTACTTTTCCGATATCTACTGAGCTTGAAGCACCTCGAAACGGATCTAGCCAAGTGCTGGGGTGAGCAGGGCAAGAACGCAGCCTGGAAGCACCGATCCAAGAACCCGCGGATCGAACAGTGGAAACGCCGTGCATGGACACTGCGAGCGCGTATGCTGGTCTTCGTCCAGCAACTAACTTACTACTGCACATCAGAGGTTATTGAGCCCAACTGGGCATCTTTGATGTCGCGGATAAGCGAGGAGAAGAAGCAAGACGCAAGGGCCAAGGGCAAGGCAACGGAGGATGAGAGCGGTGGGCCACAGGTGAAGCGAACCGTAGACGAGCTAATGCAGGACCATGTTGACTTCCTCGCAACTTGCTTGAAGGAATGCATGCTTACTAACAGTAAGCTGCTTCGAGTAAGTCGAGCCGCACTTTCATGGCCTGTGTGGCTGCTAATTACCCTCAGATCAACAACAAGATCATGTCAACATGCAGCATGTTCGCATCCTTCACATACTCACTCTCCCGCTACCTCGTCACCGGCGACCCCGACCTAGTCGCCCAGGTCAACGCATCCTTCGCTCCTCCTCCCGCCAAGAACTCCAAAAACCCCGCTGCTACACTAGTCGCTTCTACCCATCGACCTACAACACAATTTGTATACGACCCTCAGCGCGTCGACAAGATGTTCGACATGCTAGCCAAGTACGAGGAGAACTTCACCCGGCATCTTAAGATCCTGCTGGATACGCTAAACTACCTCGCTGCCACCGAGACGGTAGTCTTCTTGAGTCTTTGTGCACGGTTGACGAGTGCCGGAGAGGGTCTGAGTGGCTTCCAGGTACCCATGGGCATGGAGGGTATTGCTTAGTAGGCTTCGGCCTTGTGGGCATCAGGCGTTGTTTCATGCATTGCATTATTCTGGGTTATTGGTATGGGTTAGGGATTCAGTCTGCAAGGCGCCAAGCGAGCGATACCATAGTTGTTTGGAATGAGACGCAACGAATTACGGCCACAAACTTTCCAGTGTTGAACAGTGCGGCATCACATGGCATGTTTGGTGTAGGAACGAGGCATTTGCTCATATTCGACGTAGTTGTCAGTGTCTAGACTACACGAACGCTTCTAGTACGTCTTGAATGGACACCCCTTATCAGCGCTCGAACTCTTAGTCTTCTCCTTGACCAACTTCGTAGTGAAATCCATCAACTGCTCGCCGAGCTTCTCATTGTTCGCCAAGTCACTACCCGGCTCCCGTATCGCAGGCGGGCAGATGTACTCGCCAGTACCTTCTGTCTTGGTCGCCGCGTACATGGTACTTACGCAACCCTCAAACTGCGTCTTCTTGAACGGCGCCATACCAACGCTCATAGCGTAGCCGCCTAACGGGTAGGGCTCGTGGATCATGTCGACAGACTGCCGTGTCTCGACGAAACCGGGGTGTGTAGCGTTGGACAAGATGTTGGGGTGCGAGGTAGAGAGGTGACGAGCGAGGTAGCGTGCGTACAGGATGGAAGCGAGCTTTGTGCGGCCGTATTGTCCCATAGCGCCGAGGTCTTGGTTGAGTTCGTCAAGAGACTCAAACTTGACGTCCTTGGGTGCGCTCTCGTGTGCGTTAGATCCGAGCTGTACAAGACGGACCTTGTTGCCCTTGTCGGCTGTAGATTTGATCAAAGGCAGTAGGTGAGAAGTCAGGACTACGTGGCCCATGTGGTTGATAGCCATGTGTAGATCGACACCGTTCTTGGCAAGCTGATATGTCATGATACCTCTCGCGGCGTTATTGATCAGGATATCAATGCGGTCTGTCTTCTTGGCAATCTCAAAAGCGACTTTGCCAGTTGCTTCCCAGTCCGAGAGATCGCACTTCATCCATTCGACTCTGCTGGCCTTGTCCTCGCCCATCTCTTCCTTGATGGCTTTGAGTGCATCGTCGATAATGTCTTCGCTCATGGAGATGATGAAGAGCTTCTTGATGTTGTGTGATAGGAGGGTGTGTGTGCATCCGTAACCGATTCCTTCCGAACCACCAGTTACAACGGCGACCTTACCGCTCAGATCTGGCACTTCCTCGAGCGAGAACTGTTGGTCTGCGGGTGCGAGATCATGGGCGCCGGAGACGACCTTGCCGAGATTCTCGGCAATGGCATTCTTTACTGACTGCATAGTGGAGGAGGTTTCAACTGGGCCTTTGAGACGGTCGTTATTGTTTGGCGGAGTTGACGAATAAGCTCTGGATGTAGTAGAAGTGATCCTAGCAGCGGACACGCGTGGTAAGGATGATGTAGTTACAAAAGATGACTTGCAGCAACGCAGGGAGACGGCACCTCTAAATAACTTAGTAGACTGCATGGTTACAGCATGTGTCACAGGACAGCAGCAACCATCGTATTAGCACAAGATCTGAGGTCATGGTATACCGTGACGAGCCGCCTTCCGCGGAGCGAAAGCAGCCAATGCCATTTTGTCTTGATGTCAGCACTTTTTCCTTTTGGCGCGTTCCTGGATACTGTGGAGCGCGCATCGGGAGCGGATCGTTGATGATCTCGCCATGACGCGTTGATGGACGCCTGCATGGCCTGCGTGTTGGCGAGGCTGGAGGTCTGGAACTATGACGTGTTGGGCATAGTGGGGCGGTTGTTATCGATAACGGCGCGACTTCCGAGGTCAGCTTCACGCGACGTTGGTGGTCCCCTAATCGAGTAGACGAGAGCATCGTCGCTACCCTCATCCACGACACTATGGTAGGAACACTCAACGGATACGGGGACATCAGGTAAGTACGTTTTCAATTGGAGTGAGTACGTCCGCGACAAGACAGCAAACACAATGGCTCCTTCCCAACAGCGCAAGTCAAGCAGTAAATGCGAGCGATTGGAAAGCGACACAAACCCAAACATCACTGCGCAATCCCAAAGCCTCAATACCACCGTTTCATGGCTGTCAGCTGCAAACCTCCACCGACCGAACAATGTTCAAAGCAAGACCGGGAAAGAGCACTAACATGCGGCAGAGTGCGACTTCACATTATCTTCACCCAGACCGGGCCGCCATGATCTCATCCAACGATCAAACCTCCTCAGCCGCGCGTGAGCAGAATGCCACTAACCCACCGGTATTCGAAAAGCCACCCACAAGCACCACGCCCCTCCCACCCGATGTTGCAGCCGCTCGCAAAGCCCGCATGAACGCCGACTTGATCGGTGCCTTCAAGAGCACTTGCCCGCCCGGCACAACCCCCCACATAACAGGTGTCGGATTGTATACCCACGTTGAGGGCGCACCACCCCATTCGCCAATGTACCCCGACGAGAACCCGCAGCCACAACCCGAGTTCTTCCCCATACGCATACCAGAGAGTCGAGGCAACGAAAGCTCACAACCAGACGAAGAGGTCCAGAAGCTATGGAATGAACTCGAGCTTGCCGTCGAAACAGAGGAAGAGTTGATTGCTACAACCGAACTTGGGCTTAAGGAGCTCAGGAAGCGGTATCGTGCTCTTCCTCCTCCGAAGAACTCGCGGTCGCCGGTACAGCGCGGTCAGCAGCAGCAGCCGGAAGCGATGCAAGGAGATACATCAGCTCAGGGTGGTACAACAACGAGCGCGGGAAGCATGAGCGCTCCCAGCGCGCCCACCAAACCGCGCGGCCAGTCGCTAGCTAGCGTCATGTCTACTCTTGCGGTAGGAAATGAGAATACGAGCAAGGGAGGTACCGAGCCCGAACGAGGCAGATCGACGACTACATCTACTACGGGCTTCTACGCTCCCGATCCACGCAGACAGGGACGATGAGAGTGAAGAAAGATGGAGACAACTCCAGAACAGACCACACGGGATCTTGCTCGAAAATGGCTATGGGACTGACTTTCTTCTTGGTCTGCCCTACCTTCGGATGTACCCTTAGTGGGTCATCATGGTGTTGACACGCTGGACGTCGAGGCTGTGTGTATGTTAAACCCATCACATTGATGCTCTCATGTTTCGAAGCTAGACAAGTCCTTCATATACATGATTGAGATGCTAAAGCAATATACGCACCTCGCTACATCCATCGCGCCAAAGACTACTCTTCCACACAGACCAAACTCATTCCACGACTCATGTTATCTCTTCATAACCAACACTTACCCCATCAGGATCCACATGCGCCACACGCATTCCTGTTCCGTAGCTAAGAATAAACCAATTCTCATTCCCAGCCCTCAGCCCGCGTCGTATCCACGAGGCGTTGCGCCTCTCATATCTGACTATAATGATGAAGAGCAGTACTATCAAAGCGACGGCTAGCGCCATCATCACAGTGAAGAAATGGTCGATGGCATTTGGTTCAAGATCGCGCGGAGTGGGGGCCATGCTGCACGCACTTGAACCGGGATCGAGCGATGTGAAAAGGGAAGAGTGAAAGGATGAACATGTTGAGCACGATATCGACCTGTTCTTGAGACATTGTGGTGCCGTTGTTATGACAAACTGCCGTGCAAATGTGCTCGTATAGTGCGAATATGGAAGATCAATGGGGACTGCGAGGGCATTGTAAAGGAAGACAGCGGAACCAGAGGATGGCGGTTTGTTTACTTCCTAGGAGGGCCTGTACTGTCCAGTGAAAGCATATTCAGAAATCTAGTGAAAGATCCATGTTCTCGTTTCTTCCGCGGGCATTCCTTAAATGTCCACCAGCGGCCAGACACACACTCTTCAACCCAGTTTTACAATGTCCCTTCTCTGGATGCGCGCGTCATCTCATGACCTATTGAGATCAATGCTCGAACCGGCGAAGCAGCTACTGCCAAATATCGGAGCCCTCATCCTCGCGTTCTTAGTGTGGCTCGAGCTCAAGACTGGAGTCGTCCTTGCCTCCTTCGCACTATACGATGAGCATCCTCGCTTCTTCCACACCTTTTTACTGGCAATCAGTATCGGAGTCGTGTATAAGCTCGCCCGCTTCATCCTCCGGCTGCAAGATACGCCAAAGCCCGTTGATCCATTCAGATCGGCGCCATACAGACACAGACGCGAAGAGACCCCCATGTTTCCACCAGGTATGGAGTTCAACCGGGTCCAGGAAAGGTGGAAAAGAGAGGGTATGGAGAAGCCATTCGTGGAGGAGCGGGTATTTGGAGCAAGAAGACCGGAGGAGGTGCCTCCAGTGCGAAGACCGCTGTTCAGTGTTCCTACAAGCACTTTACCGAGGCCGCAGTCAAAGAGACCGCCGGTGAATGCGGCGTTTGGGAAGGCTGGTTGGAGCTAGGGTGTTGGCAGTGATATGCGGCTGTTCTGGGGCAGGCCTAAGGTCTATATATTGCACGGCGAAACTGCCGGAGATCAAAATGTCGCCATACTACTGCAATGTTTGAGAGGTTGGGACGTTATCACTGAGGAGCGTTGAAAGAATGCATTTGTTGTCACAGCAACTGCGTGGCAAATCATAGCCTAGAGTCTAACCTAAGAAACAAAGTGGATGGGAGACGGCCTGATCGTGTTGTTAGCATTCGTCCTGTTTGGCTAAGTTTCGTCACATGAGACATGAACAAGAGTTGAGAAATAACTGATTCACTCAATCGAGAGGACCGTGCAGTAATCACGCGCCGATACATCACAACAAACGCTCGCGGTCGCCTATAACTTCCGACCACTTTATCCTTTGAATTCAATATCCCACCACTTGATCCGATCATCAAGAATTGACTGCTGCCTCATAACATCATGTCAGGCTTTCTTGTCAATCAAGAACCGCCTACTCGTCTCGAGCGCTTCGTTCAAGACACTATCGACTCATCCAAAGGTTTCTTCGTCTATCTCTTCCGTGGAAGCTGTCTGGAATACTGGGTGCTTGACCCCAATGGCCAGGCTTATACCCTCTTCCTGATGACGCTACTAGGAGTCTCGACCTGGCTGTTCATCCTAAATCAGAACTCAGAGGGTACCGCAGCTTCAAAGTCCGAGCAGAACTGGCCCGAGAGCGAAGTAGCGGAAGCGATGGACATCGATGGCGAGGGATGTCAAGGCGACGAACATCAACCATCAACTCCGCGTGTTTCAACGTGGTCAGGCGAAGAGACACCAATCATGCGCAAGTTAGCACCTCATGATCACCGTCCTGTCAACGCGCACATCGAAGGCTCGCCTTTTCGAGTAAAACAACCTCTGGGGCCTCGCATTCGTCAATCCGTACCGTCCGCCCATCAGTCTTCCTCTCCACTCAACCCCAGGCTTTCCAAAGCTTTCTCGACTAGGCCTTCTCAGCGCGATAACGTCCCGAATTTCGAAAAAGATCCTCCGGTAGCCAATAAGACTCTCCAAGACTCCAGGCGTTCTGATGTGGGTGACATCTTTGAGGAGTGCAAGACGCAGAGCCCGGTGGTTGCTCACTGGTCAAATGAGGGCGGCCAGCGTTATGATCGAGCGACCTTGAGGCGCGAGGTGGCTACCAAATATCTTTCCTAAGGTTGTCCCGTTCTGTTATTCATCCGATGTGCATCGTCGCGGCTTCCCTGTTCACTACTTGGTTTCTGCGCTCCGGGGCTAGGGAAGGTGGCATGCGCAGGTGAGAGAAAGTGCGATGGCGATGGAGGAAGCGAGGGCCGACGGATGGGGAAGTGTCTGCCTGCGTCATTGGTGACACACACAATCAACACGTGAGGGTAGATAAACAAGCGAATGTGCACCTACTTGATCAGACAACACTGCTCTTCCTTCCGTCCTTCCTCACCTCACCTTGATAGAGTTACAGTCTCTCAACAACAACCCGCCATGGCTGCATGCACGAGCTGCGGTGAGCCTACTGACCTCAATACTAATGGTAGTCCCCTACCCACGCCTTATGCCGGTATAGGCAGTGACCTGGGCTTATGCCGAAGATGCCGTTGGATGCGTCAGAATAGCGTTTGGGCGGCTGCGCCAGACTGGAACGCGCTCTTACAGCTGAACCTACTTTTCATTCGCGGGGAAGTTGACGTCAATCCGGGCTACCCTCCTCTCCTCAAAGCAGAGACCACGCCACTCGTATCTGGTCTTGTTAAACTACATGAGTACGGCATCCTCACAACCAGATCCCAACCGTTCAGGGACATGAGCGGGTTCATCACCGGCTTGGGCTGGGTCGAGGAGCGAGAGCGTCCTTATTTGTACTTCGAGGTCCCGACATTACATCCAAAGATTCCAACTG